CCTCAACAACAACAACAACAACAAAACAACAACAACGCCGCCGCCGCCGCCGCCGCCGCCGCCGCCGCCGCCGCCGCCGCCGCCGCCGCCGCCGCCGCCGGCTGCGTAAGACGTGCGCCCTCCGCCGGCTCTGCAGTCCGGAGGGCGGAGCCCGCGCCACAGCCAATGGTAGCAGGCCATGTGCCATTGCGTCACCCCACGCCAGCCAACCAGAGGCGTCGCCGTCCTGCACCTGTCCGGGTGTTAAAGGGGCGCGGGGATACCAGATACGGGGACAGTTCGGCCCAGCGGCTGGGGCACTGAGACACACGTGGGAGACACGGGTAGAAAAATAGCGTCTGCCTTTATTCAAGTCCTGTCCTCTGCCTCAGGCCCCATCCCGCGTCCCGTCCCCGGGGCCCGGAAGCAGCTGTCCAGGGCGGGCTGCAGGGCCCGGGATACCTGCTCCGCTCTCTCCGCGAGCCGCCAGGGGTGGGGGGCTGCGGGCCCCTGCAGGGTTCCCAGGAACTCGGGCATCTGTGAGGGCAGTGAGAAGACCGGCACGCTGCGGAACAGGGCGGGCACGGCGTCCGGGGACAGCAGTCTGTCGAAGTAGGCCCCGACGTAGCGGCCGGGCGCCCGACCCTGCAAGAAGTCTGGCAGCAAGCAGCTGAGCGAGGCGGCGAAGGCGTCGTGCGGGCCGTGAGCCCCGGGCGCCGACGTCGCGTTCTGCAGCCATTCGCGGCACAGCGCCACGGCCCCGGGCGAGAAGAGCAGGACCACCACGCCGCCCTCCTGCAGGGTCTGGCGCCGCTGCGCGTGGAACCAGGCCAGGGGCCCCTGCGCACTCAGTTCGCGGCGGCTCCACAGGTCCACGGCCACGCGCAGCGGCAGCTGGAACAGCGCCGAAGCCAGGGCGCCCACCAGGCGCTCGAAGCCAGCGTCGTCGGCGGAGTAGAGGAGCAGAGCCGCGCGGCTCCTGGCGGCCTCTGTGGAAAAGAACACAGCAGGAGCGGAGACGTGAGCTGGCCCGAGGCCCGGCCCTCTGGGGGCCGCCCCCCGCCCGGCGCTGGCTCACACTCACCCCCCGCGCGGACGTCCTCCTTCAAGAGCCTCAGCCACCCTGTGAGGGGAGAGGAGCGGAGGCAGCCGGTGAGCCCAGCCGCCGCCTTCTCCTGGCCAGCTCCCAGGTCCACTGGAGTCCTGCCCCTAGGGAATGGGGAGCCGGGAAGCGCTCACCTTTCACGTGGTTCTTTTTGAGGAGGAGGAGAAGGAAAAGCACAGCGGCCAAGAGTAAGCAGGCCATCCAGACCAGGGCCCAGCGCCGGTGGATGTCTAGGAGACCCAGGGGAGAAGACAGGCTTGTTAGAGACCCCCACTTCACCAAGGAGAAAAACGAGGCTCAGAGAAATGAAGGGATTTGCCCGACGTCCACAGCTCACAGGGTCAGTGTATGAACATAGATCCATTTACTTGGGTGACCTTGGATAAGTGACTTCCGCTTCTGCCTCAGTTCACCTCTGTAAAATTGGGGTAACAATAATATCTACTTCACAGGATTGCTGTAAGGACTATATGTATTAATACACATAAAGCACTGAACAGGGTGCTGGGCATATTAAGTGCTCAAATGTCAGCTAAGATTATCGACTCCTAAGGGACTTCCCTGGTGGTCCAGTGGCTAAGGCACCGTGATCCCAATGCAGGGGGCCTGGCTTGGATCCCTGATCAGGAAACTAGATCCCACATGCCCAACTAAGAGTTCACATTCTGCAACTAAAGATCCCGCATGCCACAGTGAAGATCCCACGTGCCACGACTAAGATCCAGCGCAGCCAAACACATAAATAAATAAATGTTTTTTAAAAAAAGATTATTGCCCCCTAAGCCTAGGGTTGCTGGACCCTTGACCTCACTCTCTTGGATGACTGCAAGAGCCTTCTAACTGGTATTTCTGATTCTTCTATGCCTCTAATTCATTACAACATGGCAGCCCCAGAGATCTTTTTTTTTTTTTCAATAAATGTATTTATTTATTTTTGGCTGCGTTGGGCCTTTGTTGCTGCATGCAGGCTTTCTCTAGTTGCGGCGTGCAGGGGGCTACTCTTCATTGCGGTGTGCGGGCTTCTCGTTGCGGAGCATGGGCTCTACGTGTGTGCGCTTCAGTTGTTGTGCAGGGTCAGTACTTGTGGCGCACGGGCTTAGTTGCCCCGCGGCATGTGGGATCTTCCCGGACCAGGGCTCGAACCCGTGTCCCCTGCATTGGCTGGCGGATTCTTAACCACTGTGCCACCAGGGAAGTCCCCCCAGAGATCTTTTTAAAATACAAATTTGGGGGCTTCCCTGGTGGTACAGTGGTTAAGAATCCGCCAGCCAATGCAGGGGACACGGGTTCGAGCCCTGGTCCGGGAAGATCCCACATGCCGCGGGGCAACTAAGCCCGTGCGCCACAAGTACTGAGCCTGTGCTCTAGGGTCCACAAGCCATAACTACTGAGCCTGCATGCCACAACTACTGAAGCCCTCGCTCCTCGAGCCTGTGCTCTGCAACAAGAGAAGCCACCACAATGAGAAGCCCGCACACCTCAATGAAGAGTAGCCCCCGCTTGCCACAGCTGAGAAAGCCCACACGCAGCAGCAACAAAGACCCAATGCAGCCAAAAATAAATAAATAAAAAATAGATAAATTTATTTTAAAAAATACAAATTTGATTATAGCCTTTTGGGAAGCTCCTGCTACTCTTAACATAAAATCCAAATTGCTTACATCGGCTCCCAAGGCCCTACATGGCCCTTGCATCCTAATCTCATGACGGAGGCCTATCTCTCAAGACCCTCCAGCCACATTGGCTTCCTTGGAGTTCCTCAAAAAAGCACCCCAGAGTCTTCACAAAAATGCATCTCTTCCCCCTTCATCTAGCTCAGCCTTCAGAGTTCACCTCCAACCTTTCCCCTGAACTAGGTCAGGTCCCCATTATATGCATTCAGGGCTTTGGACACTTTTATAGTGAATGCTTCAATAGCCCACACTTCCTAAATGATTGTTTAGCTAATGTCTTTCTAGTTTCTATGGCTGGCATGGAGACAGGGAACGTGTCTCTTTGGTGATGCTGGGATCCCTGCAAGCGCCCCTTGTGGTGTTTGAATTAATGAAGGAATGACCCTCTGATTGAAAGGCTAAGGCCATTGTGTATGCTCCCCCCAGGAATGGTCCCTGTCAAGATTCCAGCTCCTGGTGCAGAGAAGAAGGGCAGTTCTTGTAATACTCACACTTTTCCATGGGGCAGGCCCATAGTGCTCCCAGGTCATCGTCCCACAGCTGTAAGACACAAACAAAACCAAATCCAGAGCCCCCAGCTTGGTATTCAACACCCATCAAGTGTGGTCCCAAATTTCCAGCCTCAGCTATGCATGTTTCACACACACACAGAGCAGCCGCAAGCTGCTCTGCCTTTGCTTATGCTGTGTCTATTTCCTGGACTGTACCTTGCTACTGGTGCCAGATTGGGCCCACATGAAAAGACCCTTCCTTGAAGCTCTCCCTGGAACCCAAAACTTAGCACATTGGTTATTAGCTGTCTTAACCCAATGGTTATCTCTTTGCTGGTCTCTTCAGCCATGAGCAACTTGGAGACAGGAACTATGCTTCTTCAACTCTTAGCTTCCCCGGGGCTGGACACAAAATAAGCACACACAGATGGTGGGTGGATGCTAGAGGGGCAATGAGGAGGCCCCTGCCCCTGAAGAGTGACAGTTTTCCTGCTAGGCACAGGAAGAGGTAGAAGAGGTTGAAGACAGGGTTTGAGGCCTGTTGCCTTTGGGCATTGGGGAGGGCCCTCCTGCCACCTACTCACCTGAAGACACTGGCCTGACTGCACATCTTGTAGTAACGGCCCTCCAAGACGAGCTGCCCTCTGCCAAGCCAAGAGATGGGTGCTGTCACCTAGAGGCACCACACCTAGGAGGCCACCAGGCTACAGCTGGGCAGAATAGTAGGGGGGAGGGTCTGGGAGACTTTTCAGAGGCCACTGAGAACAAGGCCCAGGTCTGAGTTACCCCTACATTCCCAGAGACCAGCACAGGGCCTGGCACAGAGGAGGAGAAATTGAATAGTGAAAATTTGAGGCCAGGTTTGAAGTGGAGCTGGAAAGGGACATGAAGGAGGGTCCCCCATCCCTCACCGTGGACGCCCTGCTAAGCAGTGGAGTGCAGCCACTGGGTTCCAAGGCGCAGAGTGATCTGTTGTCCTGGGGGCCTCGTGTCTCCACGAGCAGCATGTCATCCTTGAGGGGCCCCAGGGAGTCTGGAAAGGGTGAGAGCCCACTCTGAGTGAGACCCAACCTGGTTGAGGGCTGCCACTCCCCTGCCCCATGCCTGACTTTCACCCCCAGGAGCTGGCACCTGCAGGGTCCACCCCTATTGCAGTGGCCCTGCCCCAGCCTCCCCCAGGTCCCACTCACCAGCCCACAAGCACTCTTGTAGCTCCTGCTTCTCCCAGGTGCTCACCTGCTCAGAAGGGGCCAGGGTTAGGGGCACGAGGAAAAGCAAAAGCTGAAGCCAGAAAAACCAGAAGAGAAGGGACAGACAAGGGGAGGCCTGTCAGGTTGGGGGGCGGGGTCTGGGCTCTGGACTTGACCTTAGGCAGAACTGGGTTCAAGGCTGAGTAATTAGGAATCACTCCATCTTTCTCAGCCTCAGCCTTGTGAGGTCATCTGTGCTAAAGGGTCTTACGGCCATAAATTAACTCTTTTCAGTTCTGACAGAACACTTTATACACTCCCTTCTCACCTAACCACCTTCTCAAAGAGGCTTCATCTGACTGCCCCTCTTGAAATTGCAACTCCAACCCTCCTTTATCCTTCCCCACCTTTTCCTATAGTATTTATATACAATTTTAACATACTGTATAATTTACTTATTATGCCTATTGTCTGCCTTTTTCCATTACAACATGAACTCTTTAAGGGTGGGAACATTTATTGGTTTTATTCACTGACATATCTGTTCCAAGAGCCTAAAACAGTGCCTGAAACATAATGGCTCAATAAATCTGGAATTAATATTTTTATAACTACCCTTCGAAGTTATAAAGCAACCCATTTCTACAGGTAGAGAAATAGGATAATTATAGCAATAATCAAAGCAGTTAACATTTATTGAGAATTTAGTTTGTGCCCGTTGCTAAGATGAAGCATTGTTTAATCTTCATAACCACTCTATGAAGTATTCAATAGTTACTATTATCATCCCCATTAAACAGATGAGGAGACTGATGTTCAGAGAGGTGAAGTGCCCAGGGTCCCGCGCCATGCACCGGTAAATAAGTAGTGGAACCCCTAAAGAGGAAGCTGGTAACCACTTTGCTCCAGGGACCCAAGGATAAAGTGGATTCAGAAGACAGTGACTGGGAGTCCGGGAGGTCCTGACCCCAAGCCTGGCTCTCTGGCGCCCCTTTCTTGCCTGGACACAGATGTTGGGGTGGCCTTTCAGCAATGGGAACTCAAGAGCCTTCTGTGGAAAGAGGGTAATGGGTGGGGTCATTAAATTTGGGCCCCTAGGTTCCCCTTCCTTCCCCAACCCCGGGAACCTCCTGCCGCCTCACTTACATTCACAGTGACATTCTCTCGGGGCAGCGGTGGGACCAGCGGCTGGCAGGGGCCCCCATCCGGTGCCTGCCAACACAGTGTGGCCTCAGCGGGTAGTGAGCACGGCGCGTCCAGCCGCCAGGCCCGCGGGGGCAGCAGCTGCAGCCGGGCGGCACGCCAAAGGTTCCGGTGTGCACGGGGGTCTGCAGGGAGAGGGTCTGGTTACTGCGTGCCACCAGGTCCCGCCCACACTGCTCCCGCCCTGGCAGAGCCGGTCCACTCACCCTCCCTAAAGGGGCAGATGCTGGTCCTGACAGAGTCGGGTTCTAGACGCCATACCTAGAAAGGAAATGGGGCTCCACAGGTCAGTTCAACCCAGCCAGCACTCTGCTAAACCCTGGGGATGCATTCACTCAGCCCATACAGTCAGTGCTCCTTGGCCCTCCGTATTCGCTGTTCTGCATCCTCGGATCAAAAATATTCCGGGGAAAAAAATTCCAGAAAGTTGCAAAAAGCAAAACTTGGATTTGCCTGCAGGAAACTGTTTACATAGCATTTACATTGTATTAGTTATTATAAGCAATCTAGAAATGATTTCAAGTATACAGGAGTATGTGAGTAGGTTATGTGTAAATACTACACCATTTTATATTATATAAAGGACTTGAGCATCTGCAGATTTTGGTATCCACAGAGATCCTGGAACTAATCCCTCTGGGATACTGGATATGGAAGGAGGATGTATTTCACCAACATATGCCCAAGTCTTTTTGCCCTTTACAAGGGCCTAGAATTGCACACATTTATTCTTCCAGCAAGCCCTATGCCAACATCTGGCAACATCTTCACTCGACAAATTTTTAATGAGTACTTACTATGTGTCTTAGCACTGTGGTAGGCATAGGGACTTTTAACAATTAAATCCACAATCACTTTGTGAGAACCTACTTAGCACAGGTTCTCAGCACAGCGTTAAGGACATGTCCATTTATTCATTTTTTCTTCCAATAGACTTTTTTTTTTGGTTGTGTTGGGTCTTCATTGTTGCGTGTGGGCTTTCTCTAGTTGAGGCGAACAGGGGCAACTCTTCATTGTGGTGCACGGGCTTCTCGTTGCGGTGGCTTCTCTTGTTGCCAAGCACGGGCTCTAGGCGCACAGGCTTCAGTAGCTGCAGCTCGCGGGCTCTAGAGCGCAGTCTCAGTAGTTGTGGCACACGGGCTTAGTTGCTCCATGGCATGTGGGATCTTCCTGGACCAGAGATCGAACCCGTGTCCCCTGCATTGGCAGGCGGATTCTTAACCACTGTGCCACCAGGGAAGTACCCAATAGACTTTTTAAGTGCACCCATTCTTGGCTTAGCCCTGTTCTAAAGCACTAGAGATAATAAATTAATTTATACAACAAACGTATAAGAGCACCTACTACGTAGCAGGCATTGGGCTTGGCAGTGAGGACATTTATATCACAGCAAACATTTCATGAGTGTCTGTTATATGTCCTATCACTGTGCTAGGCAGTAGAGTTTCACTCATTCACTCATTCATTCACTTAACAAACTTAATTAGCACCCACTACATACCAGTTATTATGCAAGGCTCTGGAGAAATTACTAAATTAGAATAGATGTCATTTCCTTGCCTTCAAGGAAATTACAAATTCACAGTTGTAGTAAGGATAAGACATGTATACAAATTAATAAATCAATCACTCATTGAGGATTTGTGGTATGCAAGAAGAGACAGGTGCCCAAATAAGAAAACAAGTGATAAATGATAAATAGAAAAGAAAAGACAGAAATGCAAGAAGATTTGGAGACAGAAGAGGCCAGGAGGTTGGGCAAAAGCTTTGGGAAAGAGGTGACTGGAAGGATTGAGGTGTATGGAAAAGAAGGATTGGGGTGTATAGAAAAGAAGTGAGGGCATTTCAGGTAGTGGGAATGAGAGACATTAATGTCAGAGGTAAAACAGATGGGACCTGATGACCAATTAAATATATAATCAGAGGGAGAATATATTATTATAACATATATAAGCTGGAAGTGGCACACTTCCTTATAACAGCCCTGTGAGGCTGGTACTGTTTATTCCCATTTTACTGATAGGAAACAGGCTCAGAGAGGTGAAGTGACTTGTCCAAGGTCACACAGCTAGCAAATGGCAAGTCAGGATTCAAATAAGTCTGAGTTCACAGCGCACGCTCTACTCTCCAGGGGAGCACAAAGAAGGAATTGGAGGAGTAGTGGAAGCCTTCAAGGGGGAGATGACATCTGAAGGGGGCCTTGAAGCACAAGTAGAAGTGCTGGGGATAGAGGATCACGAAGAGCATTCAGGGCATGTACAAGCAGAAAACATAGGACAGCAAAGTGCAAGGGAGGGCCAGTCCCCCTAGGGAACCACAGTTTCCATCTCAGAGAGGAGTGTGGAGGGTGGGGAGACCAGGAAGGTGAGGGCCAACCGTCTCACCAGTTCCCTAATCCCTGTCCCCGGGCACCCAGCTGGACTCTGCTCCTACCTGAATACAGAGGCAGGGAACCAGGTCTGTGTGGTTCAAGGTAATGGTCTGCGGCCCAGTCTGTGGGAGAAGCAGAAGGAGAGAAGTTGAAGAAGATGAGGAAGAGGAAGGCTGGAAGCCGAAGTTAAGGACACCGGGCAGGCAGCCGTTCCCCCACCAACGTTCCTTGCTTTGGGCGTGGGTGGCTGTGTCCTTTTCAAAGGTGCCCTATGATAATGCACTTGCAACTTCAGCACAAGCATCGGCCTGCAGTGGGAATGGACCTGGGGAGGGAGAGGCCTCACCAGGTTCCTGTGCCACCAGGGTTTTGCAGGGCCCGGGACCTGGTTCCAGTACAGGGAGAGGCCAAAGCGCTGATCCTCAGGGATGTCCACCACCAGGTGCACGTCATTGCCATCTGCAGACACGTTGAGCACGGGCAGGGCTGCGGAGGAGGCAAAGAGAGAGACTTCCTTCACCTCTTCTGTACACCCAAGCCTGGGTCACATCCACCCACTGCCCCTTTGGAGTTTCCTTCAAAGCCCTTAGACTAGGAGGCCCCTGGAGGGCAGAGCCTGTGTCTCCATGTCAGACCAGACTTCAGCCACAGCCCAGGACTGAACCCATGTAGGCTCCAGTATGGGGTCTGGAGAGGGCTCTTCTTCTTGCTTCTCCCTCTGCAGCCAGAAGTGCCTGTAACCACTGTAAAATAAATCATTCTCCTCTGCTCAGAACCTTCTGATGGCCCCCACATCACCCCAGAGTAAAAGCCAGAGTCATTACAGTGGCTTGCAAGTCCCTCCCCAGTATGGCTGCTGTGAACACTCTAACCTCATTTCCTAGCACTCTTGTCCTTAATTAACCTGCTGCAGACACACTGTCCTCCTTACTAATACTTAAAAACACTAGACACACTCCTGCCTCAGGCCCTTTGCACTGGCTATTCCCTTCACATGGAACCCTCTTCCCTCAGATACCCCATGGCTCCTCCCTCACCTCCTTCAGGTCTTTTGCTCACTGACCACTCCAACTCCCAACCTCTCTATCCCCCTTCCCTGAAATTTCTCCATAGCACTAATAACCATCTAACTTATTGCATATTTCACATCTCCATGTGTTTATCGTGTCCTCCATCACCCCCACCCTGACCCTGACTCCCAGTAGAACATCAGCTCTGTGAAGGCAGGGATTTTTGTCAGTTGTTTTTTTTTTTTTTTTAATTGGTTTGTCTCCAGTGCCTAGGGCTATTCCTTGAGCAGGGTAATGACTCAATAAATATCTGCTGAATAAGTGAATCAGTGTCTACCAAATGAATAAAGACATGAAATCCATGTTGTGTATCTGTATCCTCAAACCTCTGGTGCTGAGTAGTCTTTAATGAATTACCAAAGAGGCATCAAGCTTAAGTTTAAGAACCCAAATAGAAAATGAAGTTGAAATCTTTTGAGTTCAAAAGCATCACAGTGTTTCTATCTCCATGTGGCTGGTAGTTATGCAAGTGTATACATATGTAAAAATTAATTGAACTGGACATTAAAATTGGTGCACTTTACACACTTTTCTGTATGTATGTTATACCATGATAAAAAAGAAAATACAAAACAAAAATATGAGCAAAACAAAGTCCAAATAGTACATGAGAAAAATCATCAGAACCTTTAGTTTCTTAGCCCTTATTTTATGATTTAATATTATTTTTATTTTAATATATGGGGGCGGGGTGCACCATAATCTTGACAATGTTTTGGGCCACTAGATGTTCCTGGTACTAATAAATATTTGTTCTAAGAAGTGAGAGATTCACCTTTATATTCTAAATGCCTGGCACTGAGTAAGAGCTACCGCAGTTCTTTTATGATAAAATGAATGAATGAATAAATGAGCTCTGTGAGCCTCTGGGATGTGGCAGCCAGACCTGAAGTTCACTCCAAGGGTCCCTCACACTCCAGACCCACCCCCACCCTCCTCCCAGCCCTGCTGGCCCTAGCTCCTACCCCAGCAGCTCTGAATGCTGTCCCGGACTTCAAGACCCCTGCAGTCTGGGGAGAGATCACAGAAAAGCCTCTAGTGGGGTTGGGGACAAAGAAAGAATGAGGGCAATCCGACCCATGGGGAGCCCTGGGAAGGGCTCCCTGTCCCCTCAATACCACCCATATATATTCCAGTGCCCAAAGCACCTTCCCCAGACACTGGGAAGCAACGTCACCTGGGGAGAGGAGGCATGAGGGACTGACTATGGGCAGCTGGGAGTGAGAGTGCCTGAGAGCGGCCGGGACGAGGAAGAGGGTTAAAGCAGAAGGGCAGTGGCCGGTGGGGAGAGAGACTAAGGGGCCAGCACTCGGGGCCCCTCAGGCTGTGGGGCCACTTACCAGGCAGCTGCTGTGTGAGATTGAGTTCCTTCTGGTACCGGGGCTGAGTGTAGGACCAGATTCGCACCTCAGCCCCCAGGGCAGCCTGGAAGCACTCAAATACTACAGAGCCCTGTGAGGAGAGGGTGGCGCAAGGCTGGTGGTATAGGGCTCAAAATTGAGGCTCCTCTCCATGGTCTGCTCCACTCACCCTCTGCCCTATTCCCAACCAATGACTATTCATACTGTATGGCCCCCAATTCTGCTGCGAACATGTCCTCAAAGGCCTCCAGTTCTAAAGCACACAGCCTCAGGAGGGGTGGCAGCAGGGCCAGGATTAGTGCCCCCACTCTATTAGTCCTTGCCTCATCCCTGCTGTTCCAGGTCACGTGCCAAAGCTAAGGTGATCAGAGACCCCAGACCCCAGCGCAAATGTGGGAGGCCCTCCCCACAGAAGTCGTTCTCACTCCCAGTGCCTCAGTGGGCCTCATGACTGCCCTGTGAGGGGGACCAGCAGGTGATCTCCCATTATTTTCCAGGTAAGACGATATAGACTGGGGGCCGGGGACAGGAGGGAAGTCAAAGTTTGAGTGACTTGGCCCAAGTGGAGATACATATCCCAACCATAAGCAGCCCCCTGAGGCTGGAAGAAGCTCCGCGGGGGTACAGACATGGTACATGTGGGGCAGCCACGGATAGCATGGCAGGGAATCCGGAAAAGTGGATTCAGCCCACAGACCTCCCCTCTGCAAGCCTCAGCTTCTCTATCTGGAGCATGAGGGCAATAATAATGTCTAGTTCATGGGGGTAGTTTTGAGGATTACAACAGAAAGGAAAAATTAAACTTTCTGAGACTCTTCCGTGTTGGGTATTATACCAGGTGTTTTATACATATCAACTCATTTTACTCTCATAACAGCTATGTGAGGTAGGACTATTCTTTTTTTTTTGGCCACACCGGGTGGCCTGTGGGATCTTAGTTCCCCAACCAAGGATCGAACCCGGGCCCTCAGCAGTGAAAGCGCAGAATTCCAACCACTGGACCACCAGGGAACTCCCGAGGTAGGACTGTTCTTTTTCCCACTTTACGGACAGGAAAACTGAGGCATAAAGGACTGAAAGAACTTGCTCACAGCCCTGCTAGAATCAGGACCTAAAGAGATAATGCACGTGAAAACCCTTCATAAATTCATTATTATTTCGCATACCACAGACTGACCAGGCTGCACGAGGGCAGCAGGCACTCGCACCTCCAGTAGGACGCAGCGGGCAGTAGGGTAGGCCTGGAAGGAGAGCACGACGTGGGCCTGGAGAGAGGCTGTGAGCAACAGGGCAGGGGGTCGGTCAGGCTCAGGGGCCCTGGGCAAGGCTCTGGCGAGGGGCAGTTGGGCCAAGCCGGCTTCTCCTCACCGTTCCTAGGCTCCTCGATCGCTGGGTCCTCTGCAATTCCAAACGTCTCTTCATCTTCAGGCTCTTCCCAGTACCCTGGAATGACCCGAGAGCAAGGCTCAGATCTAGCCCCAGCTCTGGTTTTGGGTTCCTTCCAGGAAGCTCAGTGCTAGGAAGCAGAGGCCAGGCTTGGGGCCGGGGATGTGGGCGGGGAGACCAGTGTGACCTGGGGGTTCCGTTGGCCAGTGTCCTCCAGGAGAATACTGAGGATGCCCCGTGCTTCCTGACAGACACCCTCCCTGGTCTTCGTGCCCACTCCAGACACACTCACATGCACCAATGCCCAGTCATGGGATGACAGGCTCACCATGCACAGCCAAGTGGACATCCACACGCACACAGAGGTCACAGTCGGTATCCTTGTAGCACCTTAGCACCAGCTCTGTCTGCAGGCCTGTGGGCACCAGCACGGGGCCTGGGGCAGACACGAGGCTCCCAGGCAGGCAGAGCACATCACCATCTGTGTGTGAAGGGTGAGGTGGGAGCTGAAGCTTCTCAGACCCAGAATCTGGTTGCACCTGACAACCCCAGAGGGCCAAGGAGCTTTGGGCTCTTCCTGGGCTGAGGGTAGGTGGTGAGGGCATGGGACTGAACAGCTCCCCTCCCTTCTGCCCACCTGGGAAGATCTTTCCTCTCTAAAAATAGGGCTACTTACCCCAGAGGTGGCAGGAAAGGCCCTGGGAAGGAGGTAAAGACAAGTTAGAGTTTATGCATCCAAATGTAACCACCTTTTCCTGAGGCCCCCCCACCCGCCTACCTCTTTCTAGGGCTCCCTTTTCCAAGTCCCTCCCAGAAGAGCTCAGGCCCAGCTCTTGCCCCCTCCCCATTCTTCTCTTACCCCATCAGCACCCGACAGACCAGCCAGGGCAGTTCTGACGGTGATGGCAGCGGCAGGAGCCAGGCTAGGGCCTCAATGGCCGCAGACCGAGCCCTGAGCCTTCCTCAACACTCCTACAGTCCCAGACTCACCGGAGAGCAGCGGGCAGTGTCCTGAGGCCCCGCAACCCTCTCTAGAGAGAGGACCACAGGGTTTCGGCCCAGTGCCAAGGACAGAAAGAACCAGGGCACAGGCATCTTCCAGGTGCCAGGCAGCACCCAGGCCTGAGGCCCTGTCCTGCCCGCCCCCCGAAGGGGGGCTGACACCACACCTCTTCTCCCACTCAGCTGCGTGCCTGCGGGCAGGAGGGGCCGGAAGCCCTCCCCAGTCTCGGGGTCCCGGCGCTGGGCCGCTTGCGCACGCCCTCTCCCAGGAGTCGTGACTCCCATCCAGTCCCTGCCGGAGTGCTTTCGTTTTGGCTCCTGGCAGGCAGCCGGCTGTTCCCGCCCCGCCCGGCCCCTCCCACCAACACCAGGCCTGGGAGCCAGCAGCCTGGACCTGAGTGGTGGCCTCACTCCCTCCCTCTTTTCCTCTCCTCCTCTTCCCCTTCTCCTCCTTCTCTGCTGACACCTGGCTGGGAGGGGCCCCTGGAGAGGGTGGTGGCCTAATGGCTGAGTGAGGGAGCTCTTACTCACTCTGGGAGTCCCTAAGGAGGAAGTCTCCATTGAGACAACCAAGGCCTTAGGCAATCCTGGGGCATTTGCACTTCCCACGTGACTCTGGGATCTTGGTGTCCACGGGGCCCCTCTTACTGGCCACCCCAGGTCCCTTCAGACATTCCCCTTGGGCCTCACTGTGGGACACGATCTCTAAAGACAGGGACGAGGGGCACCGTAACATGAGCTTTTCGCCTCTTCCCGGCCTATGCTCAAGCGAGGGGTAGGGGTGGATGGGACCCAGGACCCAGAGCCAGGAAGACAGGGTCCTATTTGTGCTGTTGCCATGGGCTGGCTGCGTGACTGTGGCCCCACACCACCTTTCTGAACCTGTGTTTTCTTCTCTTCTCTCTGAAGAATCACAGTGAGGATCAAGGAAATTTCCAGGGAGACACTGCTTGTGAGAATATGACAGACATGGATGTGGATTTGGGCCCAGAAAATGATGCATAACAACCGCCAGGCAGGGTCTTGCTGACCCTTCCCCCAACTCAGCACCCCGGGCACACTGGAAAAGCACCTTGTGTTTCTTAGTTTATCCATCATGTTCACCTTTATTCAACTTTCTCTATCTCAGTCTCCACTGTCCCACCTTTGCCCCCATCACCCAGGGCCAAAGCCTCCTTCCCAGGGTCCAGAGCCCTCCCTCCCTCCCTTCCTCCCACTCTGGGCAGGGCACCGGTCTGGAAAAGGGGGATCCCTGGCTCCCAAAGGGGTTTCTGTCCCCCCACCCCCTCTGCAGCCACCTCCCACTCAGAGCTGCCATGTCTCCTGCCTCCCCAACCCCTGTCCCAACCTCTCTGGCCTGGACTGGAGCACGTGCAGACGACTATTCTCTGGAATTTCGGAGAGAGGAAGTGGGACGATCCCCCACTCACAACAGCACTGAGGTCAGAGGAGTTCTCAGGAAAGAGTGACTCTCCCTGGGGGCTCTGAGGGAGAGAACCCTCAAGCATAAGCATGAGGAAGAGACTGGACCCTGGGGGAACGTGGGGAACGGGCTGGGACAGTGAGTGTGATGCCCCGCTCCCGGGCTGGGAGGTAGCGTAAGGCTTTGTGGCCAGTGGCCCCTAGGAGGCATCCAACGATTCCAGGGTAGAAGCCTCATTCGGGGCTTCCAGCCAGTGCCCCTAGGCCTGCGGCCACAGACATCTGGACTGCGGTGAGCTCTGCTCAGCCTTGATCGGCAAGTTTGGCGGCCTCGCGTTCCAGCTGGCGGCACAGCTCCACGCGACCCCGCAGGCACGGCCGGGCCGCGAGGCGGCCCCAGCTGGTGGCTTGAGTAGAAGTCCGCGCGTCCAGCGCCCGCAGCAGGCGCGGCAGGTCTTGAAGCAGGCGGTAGCGGGGCAGGGCGCGCAGGGGCGGAGGAATGTCGCCTTTGGCGCAGAGGCGACTGAAGTAAGCGAGCAGCGGCAGCGGACGCGGGGCGGCGCGGAGCAGGGTGTGCAGGGGTGCGGCGCGGGCATCCGGGCCGCCGGCGGGGCTCGGGCTGGCGCAGCTCCACAGCAGCAGCACGGTGCCCCGCTCCCGCGCCACGCGCGCCCGTGCCGCCCAGAGCCACGGCAGCGGGCCCACGCGCGCCACCCGCGTGCCCTCCCACAGGTCCACGATCACGTCGCGCCCGCCGCCCAGCGCGGCCCGCAGCAGTTCAGCCAGCGCTCCCACCAGGCGCCGCTGCGCCTCGGAGTCCGCCACGTGCAGGAGCAGCACCGGCCGCGCTCGACCTGGGCCTGGGGGTGGGAGCAACAGATGAACAGGGTGGGGGGCTAAGGGACAGCCCAGCCCTTTCCTCCCAGGCCTCCGCGCTACATGATAGGGTTAACTCCACCACCCCACCTTTCTTCATCTGCGCTGGGGATGGGTACCCAAGGCAGCTTTAGCCTACAGGCCTATAGGGCGCCTTTGGGCTAATTAGATAAAGGTGCCCGGGAAGAGGAGAGGGCTAGGGCGCCAGGTGCAGCGCAGGCTGGATTTCCGCCCCACTAGCGTCTGGCCTAGAGACTGGTGCAGTGAACCACCTGCAGAAGGACCTTTGCCCTGCCTTAACCATTCCTTCCCACTAGGGGGCATGAGACTCACCGCCTTGGGTAACAGAGAGGCGGGTGCAGCGGCAGGGACAAGGCTCTTTTGGAAGGGAGCCTGGGCGGGGGAGGGATGGGGGCAACTGGCCTAGGAGCCAAGGAAGTCTGAATCCCCAGGTTACCCCCAGTGAGCTTACCTGACAGTGGGCGCTGGCAGGTGAGCACCAGAACAACACCCAGTAGGGTGGTGAAGGCCAGCAGTACCAGGATCAAGAGCCCCAGGAGCCTATGAGAGACTGAGCCAAGAAGGGTGAGGCCAAGCCCGGCTCCTCAGTGCCCAACCTCCCTCTCACTCCCCCTCCCCCTCCCAAGAACTCACCATCCGGACACAGGAGGTGCTTCCAGGCAAACTGGACATCTGACCTCCACACCTGAGGGCACAGAGCCCCCCAATCCCTGTAAGCCAGGGTAAACCCTCCTCCCAGGGGAAGTTGAATAAGGCATGGGGATAGTGAAGGGGAATCCCCCTGGATAGGGAATTCCTCCAGCACAGGCTTTGTGTCTGGTCCAGCTCTGGCTGGGCACAGAACAAGGTCAAGAGTGGCAAACTCAGAAAGTAAACCCAGGGACTTCCCTGGCGGTGCAGTGGTTAAGACTTTGCCTTCCAATGCAGGGGGTGCGGGTTCAATCCTGGTCAGTGAGCTAAGATCCCACATGCCTCAGGACCAAAAAACCAAAACATAAAACAAAAGCAATATTGTAACAAATTCAATAAAGACTTTAAAAAAATGGTCCACATCAAAAAAGAAAGAAAGAAAGTAAACCCAAAGTTAACCAGAGCATCCATGAGGACGTGGAAGGCACAGGCCCTGACTGAAGTAATCAGACACCACTGAGCTCCAGCCCATGATCACCATGCCTGAATGTGGAAACAAAGCACCAGGTTTTCTGATTTTTTTCAAGAGACGCCAGAAATCAACTTTTTAAAATGTGACATCTCCCAACATTTAAGTGGTGGCAACTAATTCCAATTTTGAACACCGTGCTGGCCAAGTCAAACATTTTTATGGACTGGATTTGCCCCATGTGTCACCTGTGGTATAGATGACAGGGGAGTATATGCAGCAGAGTGAGGGCAGGATTCCTTACCAGGACACAGCCCCCTGGCCTCGGGAAGGGAACGATGAGGTCTAGTGTCACTGAGCTTGAGCCCTGAGTCTGTGGGAAAAAAGAGCAGAATGACTGTCCCCATAGAGGCAGATCTGGCTCTGTCCAGCCCCTGAGTCTTTGCCCATTGCTGTGTTCCTCCTTTCTACCCACCATCCTTACCCAAACCCTACCCAGGCTTAGGGCCAAGTGCCACCCCTGACAAGAAGCCTTCCCAGGCTTCACTCCCAGATCCCACTGATCATTCCCAGATCTGAACTGCTGCACAGATAAACATTAATCAGGCAATCAGGCACTCGTCAACAAACATACTCTGGGTGCCTACTCTGTGCAAGCCCCTGAGGAGACAAGGCGGGCATGGACATTGTCTCTGTCCTCTAGCAGCTCACAAATCAGGAGGCTAATTATATGCTGCCTCCTTTCTCTGTTCTGCGCACCTGAAGGGGCAGCTTGTCCATTGGAAAGAACGTAAGTTGTAGAGTCAGGAGACCACAGCTAACAAAGTCAGCCTTAACTATTGCCTTTGTGGTTCCTAGCTGTGGGATCTTTGCATGGAGAGAGACTTCCTTTCTCCTTGAGCCTCAGTTTCTTCATTTGTGTGTGATAGATAATAATCCTTGTTTTACTGGGTTACTGAACGCATCAAATGGGAATATGCAGGTGAACCCCCTTTATAATACAAAGTACAGGGACTTCCCTGGTGGTCCAGTGGGTAAGACTCCATGCTCCCAATGCAGGGGGCCCGGGTTCCATCCCTAGTCAGGAAACTAGATCCTGCATGCAGGCAACTAAAAGTCTGCATGCCACAACTAAGAGTCCGCAGGCCGCAACTAAGAAGTCCGCATGCTGCAACTAAAAGATCCCATGTGCCGCAACTAAGACACGGCACAGCCAAAATAAATAAATAAATAAATATTAAAAAATACACAGTGCAATGTGTATTCATTTAGTAGGAGCAGCTGTTATTACATTATGGACTCCTTAGGGGCAGACTGTGTTATATACTTTTCTTGTATCTCCCAGGGCCTAATACAGAGTGGGAACAGAGTAGGCACTCAATAAATGCATGCTGAACTGACTGCCATCTGTCTACAGGCAAGGATGTGGCTTCACCCTGTGCTCTGGGTGCTGGTTAGAGAGTTGATCAGTCTCCACCCTTTAGGAACACCCTCCACCACCTACCCCATACCCCAGCCCTGCCCCAGACCCCATTCTCCAGCCAGCTGTGAGCAGGTGCCGATGCAGTGGCTCTCAAATCGTGGTTAAACTCAATGACGTTCTCAGCTCACAAAAATAAATGAGTCCATGGATTTAGCTCTCAATTTTAAGTTATCCCACATGACTTTGTCGTAAATCTTAAGCATGGTTTCGACTTAAATCTTAAGCATTTCCTACCACCTGTAGGCTTGGGAGCCCTCACAGAATACAAAACAAATAAACAAGCTGCATGTAAGTAAGAAAGAACTGAAACAAGCTAGCTATGCTTAGTCAGCTTGGTGCTGTGGTTTTGCGGATATATTTGATGGTGGTTTTTATGTCAGATACACAGAAGAGAGTCTGCTAGTCAAACTGCTGTTAGTTCACATGATAGAGTTAAATCTGTCAGTAGTTTACAGTATTCTGAGAAGAGCACTTCAGCTTCCTGGGGCTCTGCCTCCCAAAGATAGAGAACGTCTGCCAGGAGCCTGTGGAGGAAGGCAGGAGAGTAGTGGTAGAGGACAGCTGGTTCAAGAGAAGGCATCAATATAAATGTGGTGGGAGTTCGAGTGGGCCAGAGAACAGCTGGGAGTGGGAGGGCCAGTCTCTTGTCTCTATTTATCCCTGTAGGTTCAAAATCGAAAAGGATTAGAGGGACTTCCCTGGTGGCGCAGTGGTTAAGAATCCGCCTGCCAATGCAAGGAACACGGGTTCAAGCTCTGGTCTGGGAAGATCCCACATGCTGCGGAGCAACTAAGCCCGTGAGCCACAACTACTGAGCCCGTGAGCCACAACTACTGAGCCCGTGAGCCACAACTACTGAGCCCACTCGCCACGACTAGAGAAAACCCACGCACAGCAACGAAGATCCAACACAGCCAAAAATAAATAAATAAAAATAAATTTATAAGAAAAAAAAAAGAAAAGGATTAGAAACTGCTCCATTGAAGACCCCAATGACTGGCAGAGGAGGCAGCTGAACAAAGGCTGGCCAAGTAAATAAATAACCAGATGTTGTAAGAGATTTGCTTGCCTCCACCTGCTGTGCTCTAATCAACAGGTTCTAGTGGGGGCCAAGCCCTGGCTAGGCCATACCTGGCTGACGTTGTACACAGGAGGTACCATGCTGTCCTGCCCCAAGCCTGAGTGGCTCCAGGCAGCACTGAAGGTGGCGGGCATCCTTGAGGAGAAGTGAAGGACCAGCTGCTGGGCCTGGGTATCCATGCTCACGTTCCAGGATGGGGCTGCCAGGGGGTAGGAAAGGGCATCATGTAATAGATGATGGTTTGTGGGAGGTGATAGAAGCCGGGCTGCAGTTAACAGAGAAGTCAGGGCAGGGATAGAGTTTGGCTTTGCTGCAGTTGCATGAGGGTGAAATGGTGGGAAGGGGTCCCAGCCAGGGTCACTTATTGGCTCACCGAATGTCTGGTGGGGGCATTCAACGTGGCTGCTGTTTCCAAAAGAGAACTGAGAAATCCAAGAATGGCAAGTCAGCAAGCTCCAGGCACCATGCACACCCTTCCCCCTCCCGTGTTGCCCATGCTTGTACCTTGAAGCAGAGCTGGGGGTGCAAGTCCACCTTCTCCAAGACATACCACTGTGATGGGAGAAGGGAGTTAGGGAGCAGGGCCCTGGGCCCCAGCCCTGCCCACCCAGGTCCTAGGGAGGCCATCTCACCCCCTCTGACTCTCGAGCCGTGGCATTGGGGACGTCTTCGCAGAGGGTGTGCCAGCCCCGCCTCTGGCAGAGGGAGGCGTCCAGCTTCAGTGGGCAGCGGAGTGTCAGGGCCATGACCATCTGACTGTGCTGGCTGTGGTCAGTAAAGTTCACCGACTCCCAGAAGTCCGAGCCATCTGGGCAGGCAGCAAGGGCAGAGAGTGAGGCCCAGAAGGCCTGAGCCCCATCCCCAGGGCATCGGGAGATGATATTTGTGAGGGAGCCTGGCACAGCCCTGGTCTGCCTAGGTGCTTGATAAACGAGCATGCCCTCCTGCCCCTCCTGTTGCCTCTTCTATTTAACTGTCTCCTCTCCTTCCTGCACCTCCATTCTGGCCAACTCCTTGCTGCTCCCCAAACTCAAAATCTTCATATCTTTGCTTATGTTCCTCTCAGAATCAGGAATGCTCTCCCCTCCCTTCTCTCCTTTCTAAATCCTGCGCATTTTCTGAGCCCAGCTCAGATGTCACTCCCTTTAGGAGACCTTTTCTACTCATGGACAGCCGTCATGGGCTTCTCCCTCCCCTGAGTTCACGCCTTACAGCCTATTCCTTAATTACAACCCTGCCCTGGACCATAGGATACTTTGAGCTGTTCATTTGTCATGTTTGAGAATCCTGTCTCTGCAAGCTGGGCTCAACAGTATGCACAGATGTCACCAACCACTTTTGCATATAATATTGAACTCCAGCCTCATAAGGAGTTGGAAAGTGAGGCAGGGCAAGTATCATTAGTTTACAGATGAGGAAACTGAGGCTCGGAGAAGAATGAGTGGCAGAGTTGGGATGGGAGCCCAGGCCCTCTGGTCCACCTTCTTAGGACATTACCTCCTGGGGTGGATATTTCTGAACAGTGCTAATACAATGTTCAATGCTCTGATTTATTGGCAGGCTGATTGCTAGACATGGTAGCCCATGACTTGCCCCCACTGACTCCAGAGAAAGTGCCTGCATGCCTTCTGGGGACCTTCTCCAACGCAGGTGTAGAGGGTGGGCAAGTGCGTGTGTGTGTATGTGCATGTACGTGTACGTTTGCGGGGGAGAGAGAGACAGAGAGAAGCTGTGCGTGAGCAAGAGTCACATGAGTAGCACTCACAGGCTTCAGGCCAGCTCTGGAAGGGACACTTTTTGTGCCTCACGGTGTCTTCTTGCAGGTAGGACACCTGTGGGGACAGGGGAGCAGGGAAGAAGGGTCAGAGGAATGGCTTTCCCTACATCACTCAGACTTGAAACTCATTCTGGCTTGACCTTGCCCAGATGCAAGCTGCCTGAGCTGGCAGGGCACCGAGGAGAAGAAGTGTGGGGTGTGGGCAACGGTGGGTGGCACTTGGCACTCAGGGAGGAACCCCAGACTATAGGAGCAAGATCAGTGGGTGAGGGGCTGAGTCCTTTTTTCCTGGAGAGGAGAACGTATCCCCACAAAGAGGCAAATCATGAGGTCCACATTCCTCAACTTTGGCCTTCCCTGGCCTCCACTCTCAGTGATTCCTAAGGCGCTGAGTGTCCCATAGGGCCCCTCCCTCTGAAAGCCCAACACCCAATGTTATCCCCCTGGCAGGTGCTCCCCGCTCCAGGTCTCTGCCTGCACCCTCCCTTTTGTCTCCTCCTGGGTGACAAGGCCTCCGCCTTTCCTGTCTAGCCCAAAGGAGTCTTAATGCTAGGCACCTCAGTCTTACAAGGAGAGGAGGAGGACTTCCACGCAGGGCTAGTGGGGATGAGACTTCTGGGGCCATATGGAGCCTTGCAGTGGCCACGAGCCCCCACTGTGACAGCTCAGAACACCCAGTGAAGGCAGCTGTCTATCCTGCCTCTGTGGGCTGAGGCCGGGTCTCGACAAAGGCAAGCTGGGTCTGGGTGGGGCTGAGGTTGGACTCACCCCCAGGAATGTGCCATGGTCAGCAGGACACCTCCATCCCTGGCTCTGTGTGTGGCTCACTGTCAGGCTGGCACCAGTCTTCCCTAGCATCTCGTTAACACCAGCCCTTTTAAAACCTGACTTAGTGGAGATATGCTTGACCAATGGTGCTATCTGGGTGGCCTAGGAGTGAAGCCATGGACCACCCACACCTTCTCCTCTGCTCACCTCGATGCACAGACAGGGCAGAAGGAATTCATAAGGCAGGTCTACAGTGCAGCCCCCAGACACAATTTTCTGTGGACAAAGCAGCAAAGGAAGAGAAGAAGAGGGGCCTGAGAAAGAGCAGAGGCACCCTGGAAAACGGCAGGAGAAAACTGGGACCGTGGTCACCACATACCCTACTTTTCCTCTTATCTGAGACATTTCTTCCTCTGAGAAATTTCTTCTCAGGGGGTCTCTGCCCTGTAATCTGACCATCTGCTCTAGGTGTCTCAATATATGGAATGAGGGGAGTGGGGAGGAGATGGGGAAAGGAATATACATTTATTGAGCCCCTACTATATGCCAGGGAGGGTGCTAGGTGCTAGAAGCACCAACTCAATTAATTAAATGCTAGCATCATGGTGATCTTGGGAGGCATCATCGCCATTTTAAATGTGGAGAACTGAGGGACTCGGGTACAGCATCAGTCCCCTCAAATGGCACCAACTGTATACAAGGGCATCCGTGACAACTGGAGGTTGAGGTGGAGTGTCAGGGCCTAGGCCGGAAGAATAGGGGACATCTCATTCTCTGAGGAGCAGTGACAAAAGGGAGGGAGATGGAAGGGTACCAAGACAGATGTGACCATTTTGTTATTTTCTCAGGAGAACAGCTTCTTGGGGGAACTGAAAAGTCCTCTTAATGCAACCTGAATCTCACTGAGGGTCCTCTCACTGGGGGTAAGTGCCATATCCATTTCTCTGCTAGGCATTCATGGCTGCCCCAGGTCTCTGCCTGCCCTCTCCATCCTCTCCCGCCAGGAGACAAGGCCCCCTAGTTCTCTGCCTAGACCAAAGAAGTCTTCATGCTAGGCACTTCAGACTTGTAAGGAAGTCTTGGACAATCACCACCTCTCTCTGGTACTCAGTCTCCCCATCTGTATAATGGGTAGGTCCTTTCACTCCAGCCCTGTGTGATTTGGCTTTTACAGGCAGATGGCCCTCCATACCTGGGCATCAAAGGGACGGCTCAGCTCCTCACACTCCAGTGCCCACTGGTGGCAAAGACGCACACTGACCTCAGGGCCTGGAGGAATGGTCACTTGAATAACCCGTGCCTCAGGCAGCAAGTCAAAGGAGAACTCAGGCCCTGGGGAGAAGGGGGACTTGGTGGCCTTGTCTTTTGGCCTTAGCACAGGTACCACTACTTGGCTCCACCATCTCCAGTCACACGATGTGCCTACCTCCAAGCCTTTGTGAGCCACGTTTGGAGAGAACTTCCCCTTTCTCTGGATCTGCAGGTTGGGTTCTTTTGGAACGCAGCCCCTTGTGGGAGGTGTCTGGGGAGGGGACGGAGATGTGATGGCCCTTCTCAGACAGGCAACGGCTACTTAGCAGCTTCCTCTGCAGGCAGAGAGCAAGGCTGGGCTGGCCTCAGGCCAGGAATCAGGAACTCTGGCTTCTATTCCTGTCTCTGGAATCCAGGGCACCACAGGCGAGCTGCTCAACCTTTAAGGCTCAGTGTCCCTAACTGTGTAATGGACAGAATAGTCTTCTTGAGTCCACTCTTTCCAACTCTCTTTTATGGCTGGAGAACAGAATGAGAAGCCAGAAAGAGAAGGGCTGTGGGGTGTAGGGAAGGGCTGGAACTGACAGGGAGAGTACCTGAGCAGATGCTGGCATCGTGTGCCTCCTACAGAACCGGAACTTGTAAGACTTTTTGGATTTCTGCACCAGGAGGTGGAGCCAGTCCCACTGAAGACCTGCACAGGGAATGACACATTTACTATCCAGCCCTTCACGGCCCCTCCGCTACCTGGAGATGTGACCCAGTGTTGGACAGTCAGTCATTTTAGATCAGGGAGGGTAATGATCGCAAACTTCTTTAGTCCTAAGTTATGATACAATCAAAAAATCTTTCTCTCTTCTTAAGTAGAGAAAAACTATGTATATACAAAGATGTTCATGGTAGCATCATTTATAACAGTGAACAATTAAAAACTGTCAATTCTTAAGCAGTGTGTGGGCATTTAGTATGCCCCAGGCACTGAGCTAGGCAATGAAAATATAGAGTTGAATAAGACAGATCTTACTTTACAGATAGAAGGTAAAAATAGTAAACTCATAGAACTAAAACATTTTAATCCCAAGAATTGGTACCAGCTGAAAGGCGAAACACCTTCACAAAACGATACAACTGAACTCACAAATATCAATTATGGTGTGTGCCATTTTAGGAGGGCCTAATTCTCTGCTGAGGTTGACAACAGGACAAACATCTCTTCTAGTAGGATAAGTTTTACTAGCGTCAGCCTAGGGGCCCCCCCAAATTCCCCCAATTCCAATCTCCACTAAGAATGGCCCAAAGGACTGTTTCTCATACCCGAAGGATCTGACACCAGATGCAGGCACCAACAGCAGGGACAGTGGCAGAGCCAAGCACGCCAAGGCTTTGGGGAGGGGGGAAAGGCCGATAGGGTATGGCGAGGAATCTGGGCAGACCTTCCTGTGAAAGATGAAAAGGAAATCAAATGGTAAGGTCCCAGGAGTTCCCTCCTGCCTCAGAAAAGTTGGACTTGAGGCTGAGCTCTGCCACTTACATCCTGGCCGACTGAGCTGGGGCAAGTTACAGACTCCTCTAAGTCTCAGCTTCATCATTCATAAAGTGGAGCTGCTGTCAAGATCAAGTAACATAATGCGTGGGAAAATGCCTTACGAAGTATAATAAAATGTACCCTAAAACAGGAAGGATCATTGTTGTATTACTGACTGCTGAGGGACCAATTAAGGGAGAGTGCCTGGAGACTTACCTGGCTCTCATTTAATCCTCACCACAGCTCAGGGACAGCTGTTTTCATTGTATAATCATTTCTACCGTGCTGCTATACCCCTCAGAAACCGTGCACTGCCTGAAGCCATGCATGGAGTATGCGGCAGAATTACAACGCAAATCCAGGCTCACCTTGTGTTTTTTCTTTGATACTATGCTACTTCCCAGGTTGAGAACCAAAAATTAGAATGGAAGAATGGGGAAGAGGAGCAGGGCAGGGAATGAGACTCACCAGTGAAACTGTCATCCTGAAGGCACAGGGCCCAGTAGGGAAAAGAAAGGACAGAAGTATAATTAGTAGGTATTCCCACGAGGAGCATTCTCCCTGGGGTCTTTGCCTCACATCACCTAATTTCGGGGTCTGCAGAAGCCAATAGCCCATCCACTCTGGCTCTTTTCTTCCCAGCTCCACCCTGCCCAGGCCCTCAGTGCACCAGGACCTTGACTATCCATCCCTTCAAGACGATGTAGAGAACACACTGAGGCTGCCACCAGAGCTCAGGGACTTGGGTAGCAGGAAAGGACAGGCGGAGAGTGGGGAGCTGTACCAGCCTGTGCCAGCCAGGTGTCCCCACCCAGCAGCAGGCACACCTTACCATGTGGGAGGCCAGCAGACAGAGGGTGCTCCAGCTGGGAAGGTAGGGGCAGCCAATACTAGCAGAGGCAGACAGGCCAAGGAGCAGCTGGACAAGAGGCAGGAGCAGGGCTGCCAGTCCGGGGCTCCCCATGGGCTTCCGAGGGATCAGGGTATCCAGAACATGGCTGCGCCTCCTGAAGGTGGGTGGCAGGGCCTTGCCGTGCAGCAGCAGGGAGTGCAGTGCCAGCAGGAGCCCTCGCCTCAGCCTGCCCCTGCCCCGCCCTGCCCCAAAGCTCCTCCTCAAGCTCAACCAGCCGGCCAGGCCACATTCCTTCTCCTCCAAGTGGAGGGACTGAAGGACACTTGCCCCCCAGAAAGCCCTACTCCCCTACCTGGAGGGCAAGGGGGCTCCTGCTCTGGCAGAGAAATAACAGGCAAGAGGCTGGCACAGGGTCAGGGGGATGGATGGCGGCTGCACCCACTTCGTAACTCCTCCTACTCCTGCAACACCCTGCAGATCAGACCCGCCCCTTAGCGTGCTCCTGGCCTTGAATCTCCCCTGGACACGTGCTTCATCCTCTCACTTAAAAGACTGACAGAGCCATGAAGCACTTCTCTGCAGTGGGTGCTGGAGACCGAGGTGACTGATGCACCACTTAGAGGTGGGCAGAACAAAAAAGCACGTAAACCTCACATGTCACCCTGTGCATCCTGGCTCCCACCTGGCTGACTTTCAGGACTAGGGTCCAGCTTTCTCTCTCTACCCGTTGGCCAGTTCCAGCACTTCTGCCAAAGGGCCTCCAGCTTCAAGGATCCACTCATCAGTACAGTCTGCTCAGGAAGCCCCAGGTCCCATAGCTGAGCCCTGGAGCTGAGGGAGTGGGCCCCACGCATTGACCTGGTTTCCTGTGGTTTCCGACGCTGAAGAGGCTCCATTCTCTGTGGGGACCCTCCACGTCGTCCCATGGCTTCCTCCTGCTCATGAAGCATTTGAACTGCTTCAGCCCTCACCTTGGTGACACACACCGTAGAAAGTTTGGGGCACACCTACTGGGTGAAGGTATCTTGAGACTGTTATTATCCCTCTGCACTTTCAGTAGCTTGATCATACCGATCTTTAGGCCAATTCTAGTTCTTAAGTCTTTAGGTCCACTGTCTAAAGACCCCATTGTACCCATTATCCTAAAAATACCCTCTAGCTTTTGAGTTTCTTAGAAAGACCCTTTCTTATCTTTGTTTTTCCAGTGCCTAGCAATGGATGTCGTGAAATAGGTGCTCTGTAGTTGAATAAATGTAAATTATGATGTTTCATCTAAGCAGCAGTTTATCTATTTCACATTTCATAAGCACTTTCATATTTGATCCTCCTAACCACCTTACAAGACAGGTGATAATTATTCATTTCATAAAGAGAGAAATAAGGAAGCAGAAAGGAGAATGATTTGGTCAAGGTCTCTAGCCCAAGGAGCTCCAATTCTGCCATCCTCTCACAGTTCATTTCTCTTTCTACCATCCTTATGGCCTCTCCTCCCACTGCCTCATCCCCCTCTGCTTCTGGGAACCCAAAAGGGCCTGCCTGACACAGTTCTGTCTTTTGACCTTGAAGTCCATCACTGCAAACAAATCAGTAAGATGTGAAGGGAGAAAAGGGTGGTCTGGCCATACTAAAGACAGGTTAGGGAGTCTTCCCCCTAAATTTCACCTAGCCCACAATGGTTTAGATCTATACCGATAATGTGTTTTCTAATGCTGGGGGCATGAAGTGAGAAACTTGGCTCCATTCTAGAATACTTTTCTCTTTTGACTCCTTTTATCTTCTGATTTGATTCTCACAGTGAAAATACTTGGTTAACTGCTCCCTGACCCTGGCTAAGGTATGGTAGGAGAAGCAGAAAACAAATAACAGACACATACACACGAGAAATAAAGAACAGAAAGGGAAGAAAAGGACCACATAGAAAAGGCAGAGGAAGAAAGAAGAAAGGGGGAAAGGAGAGAGAAAAGGAGGTCTGTATTTTATTGTTTGCTAGTTTATTGTGGAGACTGTTCCAAAAAGGATTTAAAGTAGAAAGCACAGTGGGTAAATTCCAGCACACCCTGGGGAAGGGGGAGGGGGTCAGATCACAATTTGCTGAATTCCTATTATCAGGCTCTGGGCTGTGTGCTTTGCCCACATTATCTCATATTATTGGTACTACAATCCTTGAGGTCAGTCTTACTAAACATCTTACAGACTTGGAAACACTGGGAAGATTAAGTAACTTGTCCAAACAGAAAATGGAGAGCTGAGACTCACCCCTGTGTCTTTCTAGCTCTTTCTGTCAGAACACACTGCTTGGGGAGATCTGTGGTTTCTGGGCCCTGTAGTCCACAGAAGTACTAGAATGAGGGGACTTCCCTGGTGGTGCAGTGGATAAGACTGCGCTCCCAATGCAGGGGGCATGGGTTCAATCCCTGGTCAGGGAGCTAGATCCCCACATGCATGCCATAACTAAGAGTTCTCATGCCACAACTAAGGAGCCCGCCTGCTGCAACTAAGACCCCGTGCAACCAAATAAATAAATATTTTTTTAAAAAAACAGATGTCATGAATGGCTTTAAAAAAAAAAGAAGTACTAGACGGAACAATGTGATGAGTTGGTAGGATTAACATGGGGGGGAGAAATTGTAATAGTTGGAAAGCAAAAAGGATAGTAGGTCTTACGGGAGTGAGTCATCAGTGATCAGATTTCTAGGAGAGTAGGGATTGTTTGGCAAGTGTCAACAAGGGGGGAGTACTTCTGTGGCTGGAACAGGAGGGGGCCAACTGGAGTAAAGGCAACAGAGGTGTGTGGTAGGCCTGCAGCACAGAAGTCCTGTCCTTTTGGAAGGTGGCCAAGGCCTATCTCACCTGTGGTTTGTGTCTGAATGAGCTGATCCAGACTTCACTCTCCAGTAACCTTTACGTGGGGAGCAATCCAGGCGCTCAGGAGGTTTTGGCAGGCCCCTACGCGTGCTCAGGTAGACAGTACACTGTGGGGTCCTTGGGCAGCCATTCTTTCTGACAAAGCCTTACCCATGCATGGACGCTGAATGCAACAGCGTCTCCAGGCTCTTCCTGTAATGCCAGATTCCCAAGGTCTGTTGCGGCAACTGTGCCTACTGTTTGGGCACCCTGGGCAAGAAGGTCCAACCAATTAGACCAACAAAAACCAAGAGTACACAAGTGTTCCTTTCTTATTCCTGCTCTTCCAGAAGGGATCAATCTCCAGAATATTGATGCAAGAAGTTATGCTTAAGAGAAGAGGAAGGGACCCCCAATCTGAGAGGGGAACACCAACACTGCTCATCAAGGGAAGGGACTTTGATATTTATTAAGCACCTACTATGTACTATACAGTTTATATACATTATTTTATTTAATCCTCACAACAACCCTGGGTGGTAGATGCTATGATCCCCATACGTTAGATAAAAACAGAGGCTCAAATATCTTGCTCAAGGCAAAAGGTAGCAAAATGCCTGGCTAGATTTCTAACCTGAGTCAGTGTAATATCAAAAACTGTTCTTTCCACTATACCACACTTTCCACTTTCCCATAGACTAGATGCTCACTAAGGGTTCTTCCAAGGCCTACACCCTCTAGCTCTGTAAACATCAGGGATTAATAACCATTCCTCACATTTGTATAGTGTTAGGGTTCTTAAAGCACCTTCACAAGATTTTACCTCATTTGATCTTCAAAACAATCCTGTGAATTTGGCAGGGCTGATCTTGGTACTTGAACTTGTCTCCTGATCCAAATACAGTGCTCTTCCCACTAAATCAAGATCCCTTTCAAAGGAGATCTTGTTTACTTCAGGGAATACTACAACCATGAGGCAGGGGGAAAAAATGCTTGGAAAGCCCAAAAAGCAGAATCCCAACAAGCCAACAAGCAGAAAACTAAAATGAACCAAACGGCTCTCTTTTCGTGTTGACAATAATTTTCGGAATGGGTCTTTTCTTTTTTTAATTTTATTTATTTTTTGCTGCATTGGGTCTTTGTTGCTATGTGCGGGCTTTCTTTAGTTGTGGCGAGTGGGGACTACTCCTCGTTGTGGTGCCCAGGCTTCTCATTGTGGTGGCTACTCTTGTTGCAGATCACGGGCTCTAGGCGCGTGGGTTTCAGTAGTTGTAGCGCACGGGCTTAGTTGCTCTGTGGCATGTGGGATCTTCCCGGACTAGGGATCGAACGCATGTCCCCTGAATTGGCAGGCGGATGCTCAACCACTGCACCATCAGGGAAGCCCCCTCATAATGGGTCTTGAAAAGCACTACAAGACTGTAAAGTACCATTCTAGTAATCAAATAAATTTTAAATTCTTTTTTTAACTAATAATTATTTACATCCCGGTTCTTTAAAAATCAGCAATCTGTGCCTGGTGCACATAACTCCATTACCCACTCATTTCCATCTGCACCTCTCTGCTATCCAAATCCTACCCTTCACTCTAGTTCTTTGCTCTGACTTTAGGCTACAATAGCACAAGTTACTTCATTCAATAAATTCAGAGCGCATGATGCACATTAGGTAAAGAGCAAGGGGTGAGGAAAAGACATGTAAACTAGTAATTCTGTCAGTAGAAGAGATAAAATTAAAATGCCATGTGAATTCAAAGAAAGAACCCTCAGTCCTTGAGAATTACCGTATAAAACTAGGTCTTGAAAGATAAGTAATAAAGAAGTATAAAAGCAGAAAAGGAAAATTTTTAAGGAAACTGGGAAAACATGGAACCAATATGGGGATTCATAAGAGGTTTTCCTGACTGAGACAGACAGTGTGTGAGTGACAGTGTCAGGAGATAAATCAAGAGTGATGCACTGGAACCACACTTTGGAAATGTCTGAAAAGGATTAAGGAATTTTGGTTGTTCAAAAAATAATGGCACATCGGGCTTCCCTGGTGGCACAGTGGTTAAGAATCCGCCTGCCAATGCAGGGAGCAGGGGGTTGAGCCCTGGTCCGGGAAGATCCCACAGGCCAAGAAGCAACTAAGCCCATGCGCCACAACTACTGAGCCTGTGCTCTAGAGCCCACAAGCCACAACTACTGAGCCCACATGCTACAACTACTGAAGCCGGCACACCTGCAGCCCGTGCTCCGCAACAAGAGAAGCCACTGCAACGAGAAGCCCACGCACCACAACAAAGAGCAGCCCGCGCTCGCCGCAACTAGAGAAAGCCCACGCACAGCAACAAAGACCCAACGCAGCCAAAAATAAAGAAAGAAAAGAAAAAAATAATGGCACATAGTAGGGACTTGATGATCCAGAGCTGTATTCTTGGTATACTCACTTGCACACAGGGATGCAGGAAGAGGAATGAATATGAGGTAGAAGGCAAAGAGTTAAGTTTAGGACACACTGAGTTTGAAATGATAATCAGGACATCTAAAGGTTGGGTACCTAGAAGTACTGTAGAGACTGAGTACACACCTAATGTTTTTGTTTTTATTTATTTTTGTTTGTGTTGGGTCTTCGTTGCTGCACGCGGGCTTTTCTCTAGTTGCGGCAAGCGGGGGCTACTCTTTGTTACGGTGTGCGGGCTTCTCATTGCGGTGGCTTCTCTTGTTGTGGAGCATGGGCTCTAGGCTCACAGGCTTCAGTAGTTGTAGCGCACGCACTTAGTTGCTCCGTGGCATGTGGGATCTTCTCGGACCAGGGCTCCAATCCGTGCCCCCTGCATTGGCAGGCAGATTCTTAACCACTGCGCCACCAGGGAAGCCCAACACACATCTTTCATGCAATAAATATGTACCATGTCAGACTTTTATGTGTGAAAGGGCCTTTAGCTCACAGATCTCTTTCCCTTTTTTTTTTTTTTTTTTTGCAGTATGAGGGCCTCTCACTGTTGTGGCCTCTCCCATTGCGGAGCACAGGCTCCGGACGCACAGGCTCAGCAGCCATGGCTCACGGTCCCAGACACTCCACAGCATGTGGGATCTTCCCAGACATGGGCACGAACCCGTGTCCCCTGCATTGGCAGCCCCCCACTTCTATTTTTAACTTCTCTGCTCCACACCAGACATACTGTGTTCATTAGTTGTTTCACACGGATATTACGTTTCACCTAGATTGCAAATTTTTTATATGCAGGATACTTTAAAATTCTTTCGGATACCATAAAACAGTATTAGACACATAACTAACACTGTTAACACTGAATGATAAACATGAATATCCAACCAAAAGACAAACCCATAACCCAAGCTGGATAAATGAGAACGGACCATTTGAGAGGTGGAGGTTAAATGTATGGCCCACAGTAGTTCCTGCCAATCAGCTGCAGGGTTGCAACTATGACTTAAGTTCCCCCTATGTCCAGTTCACTTCCCCACCGCCACTGCCAGGTTTCTCGGGGAGCCTCTACGTACCTCCTAGTGACTAAGGCCACTCAAACAACACACTTTTCACACTCTATCAGATGCCGAACACAAAGCACAGGGGGGACAAGGCAGTTGTAACTTTATTGAGGTTCTTTTTAATTAAAACGCTTCACAGTAGAGACCACAGCCTGCAAGGGGAGCAGCCTCTCAAATGTTTCCTGCCCCATGACTCATAGATTGAAGCAGAATGTGATTTATTCCCTATCTCCTCCGGTCTCGGTGGCTAAGGGGTGATGGATGGAAGCAGAGAGAATGACCAAAAAGAGGCAAGGATGAAAAACTCAGAAGGATCTCAACTTTAACCAGCTGAAATTTGTTTCACAGCTGCTGATCACCCAGTTCCACCAACCAGGAGTAAATTAAACATAGTTTTGCTACCAGCTGATGGCAACAGAAGGAGCTTTGCAGAACTTGGACCTAGTTTGCACTAGTTGTCAACATCGCAGCTGCCAAAATCACCGAAGGAGGTTTTAGAACAGCTCCTCTACCCTCTCACTCCACTGGATGGGAGGCCCAGGCTTCACCTCACACAGTAGTTCATCAAGCAGGCTTCATTTACGCTTCTTCTCCTGTGTGCTGGTGAACCAAGAGTCTAGGAGCTTCTTGCTGTAGTATAACTGCCAGGCATGCACTTGGACCACCAGCACCAACACCAGATACATGACGGAGACGGCAGAAAAACCAAAGAGGAAGCGGTAGGCCTTGCCATGGCGGTAGAGCTGCTGTGCAGCAGGGAACATCTCCATGCTGCCATATATGAGGGGAGCGATGGAAAAGAGCCCCATGCTGATCATGGAGAGCACCAGGTAGCTAATGTTGTTGCGGGGGAAGGAGAGGAGGCCCAAGAGGGAGGGCACAATGCTCAGCAAATAGGGGTACTCCCACTGATAGGGCATGGCCACCTGATCATGCGACAAGAGCCTCAGGTGCCCCACGCTCATCTTGGCAACCAGCAGCAGCCATATGACCAGATGCACGTAGATCAGCTTCTTGATTTCATACTTGAGGGTCACACTGTGGGGCAGAGCAGAGGGAGAAGTACCTTTCATTCAAAATTTTCTGACC